AGATACCACTTCGTTACCATTAGCCAAGGCCAGTGCAACCCTCACACTTTTGGCAATTGAGGTACAGCCATCGTAGATCTTATAACCCAAAGATATGCCAGGCAGTAGGTCTGTGCTGTTATTAATCTCCTCAATGGCAAAAAGCATAGCCTGGCCATACTGGAACCCTCTGAAATTCAAACTTGATGCGAACAGTTATAAGAACTTAGAATGGCAAATAATCTGTCTTTGAAATAGAAACAATAACATATAAAAGAAAGCATTTGATAGTAATAATACACTTTTGGAGACACTGAATATATTTTTATTTTAATATTCAGTTGTTATTTTTGTACCTGTTTTGTATCTATATCCTCTTTAACTCTAAATACATGGTAGATTTACCTTGTGCATTGCAGTGGCAGTGGTTTCTCCATGTAGGTATCCTGTCTATCTTTCCAGCTTCTGTGGAAAGAGAAGATTCCCCCCACCATTACATCCCCATCCTTAGACAGCTGGGGGTTCTCAGGATCTCCTATCAGTACGCACACTCGCTCCTCAGCCTGAGAGACAGACACCACAAACAACAGCTGTAAGAGTACCCAACCCTTCCCTGGCCACCTCTGTGTGGACGTCATGTTATCTAAGAGGTAAACCACTGAGTGGCATGACACGTACCTCAGTATTAATGTACTACCGTTTATAAAGTTTTTGAGCTGCATGAAAAATAATAATAGAACAGGGATGTTTTACCTCTGTCGACGTAGTGGAGCAAGGGGAGGGAGGTGCCAAAACATAAAAGAGTTTTGGGCCTTAGTCTCATTTAAATATCTGTATGTATATGTATATGTTATCAGATGAGAACCAAATTGTGCTGTGCAAAAGTTTTCCCTTATTATATTCACATTTTTACATTATGTAGGTGCAATGTATACATGAATTTACAAATGAAATTTAAACATTTAAATATAATGCAAAATGAAGGTGATGTACAGTTGAGAAAATGTGACTAATTAGGCTCACTGAACTGCCCCACAACCGTACAGTCTTGTTAAAAATGCAACTGATCTTTTTTGTTGTTGTTATTTTATTTATCAGCTTATATAGTTGAAATAGCAATAGCGTAGTATAAGCAGTTCCATGTGTTAACTCATTTACACATCAAGCAGACACAGAGCAATATTATAATTCATTTGGAGTTGTTGAAGATTGGGCGCATTTTATATGGGTGCATTTTCAACAGTCTGTGTGCTCAAAAAGCAAAGGTCCAGTCACCTTTGGTCAAATCCACCGATTTAGGGATTGGTCTTTTGTACTCTGCCTTTGTGTGTATACCACCAGTTTTGATTGTCTGCCCCAACTTGATTAGTTTCACCAGTGTTATCGTCCCCTCACTAGTGTGCATCAAAGATGAAGGCCCAGAATGATGAATACATAGCACACACAGCCCTCTCCATGGCATGTGAGGAGTGTCCTTGAAGCCTTGGCTGAAGAATTAAATTAGGCTTAAGGTAGGCTTTAGGTTGTGAGCCTGCAGTCCTCCTGTCCTGAACCGGTTAACCTGCTACCTGTCCTGATCCTGCCTGTTCTAAGCTGGCAAGCCCGCTACCTGCATGTCCCGATCCTGTCTGTCCTGAGTTGGCTAACTTCCCGCCTGATTCCACCTCAGAGTAAGAAAGTAAGTAAGTAAATTTATTTAATATAGCACCTTTCACAGAGCAAGTCACAAAGTGCTTTACAAAAACAAAAACAAAACAACAACAATAATAATAATAACAAAAGCAACAATAAAACAGTGGAGCAATCAGGCATAAATATCATAATATCAAATAATCATAAATAAGCATCAAACATTATAAAGGCATCAATCAATATAATCATTTTGTATTTTAAAGAGAACATGACTATTCACAGTTAAAAGTTTACAGGGAGACAAAGGCCTGTTTAAATAAAAAAGTCTTCAGCTGATTTTTGAATGCTTCAACTGAGACCTCAGAGCGTAGGTCTGACGTAAGAGTATTCCACAGTGTTGGTGCAACCATTTGGAAAGCACGATCACCTCTAGTTTTTAGACGTGTACGCGGTACAATTAGTAGGCCTTAGTCTGAAGATCTTAAAGGCCTAGTGGTAATATAGTAATAAAGTGCAGCATGTCTGAGATGTACCCAGGTGCCTGATCATGCAGCGCTCTGTATGTTAAAACAAGCACTTTGAATTGAATCCTAAATTTAACAGGGAGCCAATGTAAAGAGGACAGAATGGGAGTTATATGAGTTCTCCGGCTGGACCTGGTCAACAGCCTTGCAGCAGCATTTTGGACCATTTGTAAACGGTACAGGGACAACTTGCTAAGAGATGTATAACACTAACCATAGTGTGTTAAACTCAGTTAAAAGGTTCTTATAATGCAGGCAGTGAACTTGAAGCTTAGTGGATTTCCACAGTCGCTCTGCCTTCCTACATTTACGCCTAAAACACGTAATGGCGTCATTTAGCCAGGGGGAAGGGTGTGTGGAGGGGACAGGTCTCATTTTACTCGGAGCCACTTGATCCAGGACTGCAGTGCAATGTGAATTAAAAGAGTAGACAAGATTATTAATATCAGTATGGTGAGATAGAACTGCGTCTTTGTCAAAAGCCGCAGAAATCTTTTCGGCTGAGAGGCCGTTTATGATGCGGGAGCTACTTATATCTTTTCTGGGCACAGAGTCCAAATTAAAGGAGAGGTTGAAAAAGACACAGTTATGGTCAGTGATATGCAGTTCCTCCAAGTAAATACAATCAATATTCAACCCAAGGGGTAAAAACAAGGTCCAATGTATGGCCCTTAACTTGTGTGGGACCAGACACATGTTGAACAAAATTAAATGATTCAGTGATACTTAGCAGCAAGTATACTCAGCAGCAAAACTACAGGAGGCATCATCAATTTGAATATCATCTCTATATAAATCTCTAAAATCAGACATAAAAGATCTGTTAGAACCAGGGGGTCGATAAATTAAGATGCAATAAAATGGGTTAGAATAACCCACTTCGGTCACTTATAATTCAAATGAAGAAAAACCCCCTGTGGTCACCCTCAAGATTTGAAAGCAGTTTTTGGAGACCATCGTGAGACTTCCACCCCGGCCAGAGGTCCTAGGAGTGCTTATAAAAGAACAATCCTGTGGACATAATTCAAGTAACGGGCCATTTTCCATGCTTCTATGCCAGGTTTCAGTTAGAAACATCTATGTCCTTGCTGGTGAAAAAATTGTTCTTTTTGTAATGGATTGAGCATTTATTAGGGCCATCTTCAGGGGTGCAGGCCCTCTGCAAGCACTAGTGGAAGCCCGGGCCAGGGGGTGCAGGAAGCGAGGGTCTGATCTGCTGCGCAAAACAGAGCCTTTCACTTGAAAAAGGGCGGTTTCAGTAACCACAGTCTCAATGGGAAAGAAATTTGGTAAAGGTGACAGATTCATGGGAGAACAGTAGTGAGAAGTCTGCTAAAATGAAAAGCGCCGCGGTCATCTAAGGGAATGGGACCTGAGACAAACACGGACTTCCCGCACTGCTTTAAGAATTTAAAAAGTTTTAAAATCTAATTTGGTCAACTTAGACTGCTTACGAGCTACCTCATTTGCTCCCACGTTGACTATTACTCTTTTGATAGAGGATGGGAGCGATGGCAGTAAAACCCGGGAGACCCTTAGTAAGTGGGAAACGGAGTGTGATGGCATTAAAGAAACGCACATTTTTTGTTATGGAATCACCAATGATAAGTGTTGAGGGAGGGGAAAGTGGCTGGGGGGATGTAGACTGGGCTCTGTCAGGACTAGTGGGAGCGAGCTCAATCCATCACCCTGTGGGGGGTACTGGGAAAAGCTGTGGCCTTGGGTCTGGCACCCATTAGGACCTGCTTTTCTGCTAGCGCTGCTGAAGAGATGGTGTTCAGCTCTACGTTATCCACTGCAGTGCTAAATATATATTATACACACCAAACTATCTTTCAGAACACATTCTTAACAAAACAGCTTTTTGCAAGAGCTTAATCAACTGAATACAATCATGAGGTTTAAAATAAAACTCGTGAAAATCATGCCTATCTTTTGTATTTTGTCTGGAGGATCTGTTAAAGATACAGAGTAGGCTCTTCTAGACAGATGCCCAGCTGCTGGGCGGCTTCAGTGAATGTGGCCATGCCATTATTCCCATAATCATTATTTGTTCTAACAGCTCTAACCCAAGTCCAACCAAAGTGCTTGGCCAACTGTGCCATGGCTCTGCTCCGGTAGTAGTCACTGGGTATTGTACAACACACTGCAATTCTTTCAAAACCCCTTTTGCTATGGCCAGCTGGAAGAATTACATTTCTTTACAATTATCTTTCACAAATATAATTTCATTTTTACCAATCTTAACCACCAGAGGGATTTGATTATGGTGACTAATTATGTCTCTGTAATGTGTACTGGACAACATCTTTGTTTTGTTATATAGTTTACTAAAGTATGTGTGAAACCACTATGGAGAGAGAATTAATATTTTTTTCATGGCTGTGAAAAATAACACAAAAAAGGGTGTACATTTCATGTAATATTTAAATTTTATTACTATTTTGTTAGTACATATTGTATAAAAATGAATTCTTTTAGATTATTCAATTGAATCATTCTCGACCTTGGGGAAACTTAGACAGTGAAGATATAGTCATAGACAGTAACAATATAAACTCAAGGTTGAAAAAATATTTTCCTAGCATGTAAAATGAGAAAACATAACTCCCACATTACAGGTTTTGTTTTTTCTCATTTTTAAGTCGGAGTTGTTGATGCCTTTTGTTTTGTGCAGAGCTATAAATTGCTTTAAATTAAGCTAGAGAAACAGCCCTTTTTCATTAAAAATGTTGTATAGCTACAGTATGACGACAATTTTATATTTTCTCAGAAATTATATATTTAAATGTATTTATGTATAAACTAATTAGATAAATAGAAAAATTATGCAAATAAATCTTTTGTTGTAATTAAACAAATAACTCAGAGGGCTCTCAATGTCACTTTACCCATCAAATGTTTCTTTGTATTGTTCTCAGGCTTTAATAAAAGTATGTAGCACTTGGGCAAAAAAATACAAAAAAGCATTCCATAACTAGAGGCCAGAATAGCAAATATCTCCACAGCTACAGTGAACTTCCCAGGAGAGCTGATATACGCTGGGATAAAGGTGATCCAGACTGCACAGAATATCAGCATGCTGAAAGTGATAAATTTAGCTTCATTGAAATTATCAGGCAGCTTTCGAGCCAGAAAAGCAAGTACAAAAGATAACAAAGCTAAGAGCCCTATGTATCCTAAAACAGCCCAGAACCCTACATGTGATCCGAAAGCACACTCGAGTATAATCTTCTCTTTATAGTGTTTCATATTTTTGTAGGGAAAGGGAGGGCTGATTGTCAGCCAAAGTATGCAAATTAAAACCTGTATGAGAGTGAAAGCCACAACACTGATCTTCTGCTGTGTAGGACCAAACCATTTCATCACATTACTACCTGGAAGTGTAGCCCTGAAGGCCATTAATACAACTATTGTTTTCCCAAGTACACAAGAGATACAGAGGACAAAGGTGATGCCAAATGCTGTGTGTCGCAGCATGCAGGACCACTCAGAGGGCCGACCGATGAAGGTCAGAGGACACAGGAAACACAGAGTCAAGGAGAAGAGCAGCAGAAAGCTCAGCTCAGAGTTGTTCATCCTGACAATAGCAGTCTGTCTGTAATGGAAAAATATCATGGCTATAGTCATTGCCAGGCATGCACCGAAAATAGAAAAGGTGACCAACAGTATACCCATCAATTCCCTGAAGGTGAGGAACTCAATAGCTTTCGAGTCACAGTTATTCCTCTCTTCATTGGACTTGTACTCGGGAGGGCATTTGTCACATTTCACTGCATCTGAAAGCATAAATATGTTTAGGCTGTACAGCACACACATCTTCAGATAGATCAGTAAAGTGCTGGCAGTGATTTTTCCCAACAGGAACACAATGAGTGCTAGAGTAAAGGCTAGAAATCCTGCTGTCTCACTTGTACTGTTGCTGAACTCCCCATCTGCACAAGTGATGCAATCGAAACAGCAGATAGGCTTGCCTTTGACAAAAGCCTGACGGGTCCCTGGCGAACAGCTCTCACTGCAAACAGACCTTGGCACCTGCATCACAGAGACAGCATTTCAAAACATCCATAACAACTTCCAGACCCACAACCATGTCAATGTGGTAATGAGCTCAGCAATTTATGAATTAACTACTAGTGTTAAAGAATGGTTGATTATTTAAAACATAATGTTAAGTCCAAAATAAGATTTAAAAGATTCATAAGGACAGGGTGTCTACATTTACTTACCTCAAGATTCTCGCCTGCCCAAATGGCTCTCACACCATCTTTCATTATAAACTGCAGACCCTCAGGCTGGGAGGAATCATAGTAACCAATGGTCTCAAAGAGAACATAACCTGTGTCATCCATCTGCCAGTTTACCAATGCATAATGTGCCACACAGTCACCAAACTCATCGAAGAACACTTTCTCACCAATCTTAGTGGTGAAATTGACCTGCGTTAGGTAATGCAGCACCTGCAGGGAAACAGTGATGCAATTATTTAAGTACATAATCAAGCAATCATTATCATATACAGTACTTTTGTGCTTTTTGGTCACCTTCCATGGTTGTAAATTCTGCTTATCAGCACAAGTATTGTTCTCAAAAGGCCCCTCTCCATCTTTGCAAGTAAACAACATATGCAATGCATGAGCGACAGCATATGTGGCCTTGTATACATTATTCAGCAGACTGGCATCTGAAACATCTGTGAAGCGTGTGTTCATGTCCCACAGAGACTCCTTCCCAGTGCAGGCTGCGACTGAACCCTGAGCTTGAGTCTCTGCTTGGGGAGTCAGTGTGCATCTGAACACCGTCTCCCATAACTCCACCAGTCCCTGGTCTCCCGGAGTGGTGGAGGGCTTGCTGTTAGTCAGGAAGTCCTGCAGTCCGGGGATATGAGCATTTATTGCTGCAAAGCCCACAGCACCCTGGACCACAGCGTAGTTCACTGGAGAGGCAATATAGCGATAAGTGATCCAGCCCTCACTGCCCACCCACTGCAGGCCTGTCACGTTCTGAGCATGGAGCTCCTTAATAAGTATGTCAAGGTCTGTGCCATCAGCAAATGCCACTATTACCTTAGAGGTGGATTTCTTTATAATTTCCACCACCTCTAAGAACCACGTCCTTGGATCAGTTCTGTAAATAGCCAATGAGTACTCAACACACACACCTTCCCTTTCTGCTGCTTCTAGGAAAGTGGCCATGCCACCATTCCCATAGTCACTATTAGTTCTGATAGCCCCTACCCATGTCCAGCCAAAGTATTTTACAAGCTTTGCTAGGGCTTTGCTCTGGTAAATGTCACTAGGTATGGTTCTGAAGAAAGAGGGATAGTCTCTTCTGTTGCTAAGACATGCACATGTGGCTGAATGACTGATCTGAAACACAGTTAAAACAGAGAAGCTCATTTTGGAGGTCTTCAATGCCTAATTTGAATCATACATGCAATAAAGCATTTTCTGATATTATATTACGTCTCATTAAACAACAAAAATTCACTTGTGTGCAGAGAGCATACATGCCAACACTCACCACAGGTATATGGAAGGGTCCCATGGTGCGTGCAATACCTATTGTAGAGGTTGACGTGGTATCCCCTACAACAGCAAGCACATTGGAGAGTTTGCTACAGCTGTCTTCCCTGCTGTCATACCTATTCATCAGGTTCAGCGATTCCCTGATGGACAGAGGGATACTGGGGCAGGAGTCAAAGATCCTATAACCCAGTGTTACTCCTGGAAGAAGCTCTGAGCTGTTGTTGATCTCCTGTATGGCAAACATCATAGTGTATGCGTACTGAAGCTCTCCTGGGTCCAGTCTGAAAAAAGGAGACCAGAATTGTATAGTTTGTCACAAGTAAAACATGTGAAACCTACATATCGATACACAGTGATTTACAAGTAAAACATGACTATACAACACATTTTCTAATAAGATATACATTAGTTTTTAATTCCTCTCTTACCCATCACAAAGGATTGTTCCTGGATTCACTTGGAGACTTGCATTGACACTGACTGGGTTCTGATGGAAGGAGAAAATGCCTCCAATGTTGATATCTCCCTCCTTAGAAAACTGAGACAGTTCTTTTGTCCCATATGTTTGACACATAGCCTCCCCTCCTTTGACAGCCAGAAGGGTAAGAAGTAGAAGATTTGCTATCTGCAACATAGTTGCTCTTCTCAATATTAACACCCAAGGCAAAAAGATAAAAAACCTTCATCTCTGAGCATTTTATAGAGTTTTTCTCTGAACTATCACAAAGCCACATGTGCTTGGTTGCACCCTATGTAAATATTGTGTTTCTGTCCACTAATGACAGTGCTTGTGGTGTGAATGACATATGGATGGGCGTATCAAAGGGCCTCCTACATAGGTTTTGCATAACCAATTCCTAACATTAATAATTTCAGAAACCTAAGCATGTCTTTGGGGATACCTGAGCTGTTACTGTGTTCTTGCATATTTTATTTCAGTTTAGAATGTTAAGCTAAATGATAAAAAAGCAAAGCTGAGGGATAGATATTTACATTCAACAAGGAGCTGAACTTTATTCCTTTAAATTTTTATTGACAATTGTGTCACAGGGAAATCATTCTGCAGAAAATAGCCAGCATTAAACCATATCTCAAACAGGTATTTATGTTGTAATACGTGTATCTGTTTCCCTTTCAAATGCACTGTATTATAAATCTAATGTAATGTATTCTTACATTTACTTTTTCAGGTATTTGATTGATTAGAGCTGAGAACATTCGATTTAGAATTCAGTTTCAGGAATGGTAATGCACTGAAATCTTTTATTGCATTCAACAATCTTTGCAAAACTGCACATATGCTTGGTCCCTCAGTGCAATAAGTAGGTGCCTGAAAGTTCATAGCCTTTAATACATTAATATTAAAATGTTTGTGTTACTATACTGCATTCTATTGTTGGTTTCTCCCCATCATATGCTTTTTAGTATTTCTATCCGGTTTCAATAGTAAAATATAACACTTTGGAGCAAATATACAGAAAAGCAACCCAAAGCTAGAGGCCAGAATAGCAAATATTTCTACAGCTACAGTAAACCTCCCAGGGGAGCTGACATATGCTGGGATAAAGGTGACCCAGACAGCACAGAATATTAACATGCTGAATGTGATAAATTTAGCTTCATTAAAATTGTCAGGCAGCTTTCGAGCCAGAAAAGCAAGGATGAAACATAGCACAGCCAGGAGTCCTATATACCCCAACACAGCCCAGAATCCTATTGGTGAACCTAAATCACACTCTAGAATAATCCTTTCAGTGGCATGAGCTGTATTTTTGTAGGGGTGTGGCGGAGCACGATTTAACCACAGCGCACAAACTATCACCTGCAGTAAAGTACAGCTGAGAACACTTGTTCTCTGAAGCGGAGCTGAGCACTGAGGAACTTTGTTTGCTGGCATTTTAGCCTTAAAGGCAATCACCACTGCTATGGTTTTAGCTAAGATACAAGACATGCACAACGCAAAGGTGATGCCAAAAGTTGTGTGCCGCAGCATGCAGGACCACTTAGTGGGTTGGCCTATGAAGGTCAGAGAACACAGGAAACACAGGGTCAAGGAGAAGAGCAGAAGGAAACTCAGCTCAGAGTTACTGGCTTTGACGAGAGGTGTGTGACGATACCGAAAGAAGACACATGACACCATCAGTGTTAAGCTTGCTCCAAACAATGAAAAAGCAGTGATAAGGGCCCCCATGGTTTCTCCATAAGATAGGAACTCTGTCACCTTTGGAACACACTGGCTGTGATCTTCATTTGACCAGTACTCCAGTGGGCACCGTAAACACTCTGCAGAACCTGAATGGGAAACGTGAAACATTCAAATGTACTCATGCTGTAAGCTGCAAGTTATGAGGGAGAGTACATGCTGTAATAAGCACCAGCTGTATTATAGCTAGCTGTATTTATAGACGCATAGGTGAGATACTGGAAAACACTGATTTTGTACAAATATTATGTGAGAAATTACAGTAAGGAAAGCTTCTACTCACTGCTGGAGTTGCTGATCTCTCCAGCACCACAGGCGATGCAGGAGAAACAGCAGATGGGTTTACCTTTAATCACAGCCTGCCGGAAACCTGGGAGACAACTCTCACTGCAGACAGACTGTGGCTCCTGATTGGTATATTATAATCAGCATTAGGGTCATATTTAGACACTGTAGTTTTATATCTTGATCTTACATATACAATCTACACTTAGCATGCCATTCTGCAAAACAGTGTATACACACACACACACACACACACACACACACACACACACACACACATACACGTAATGGGCCTATATGGCTCAAGGAATATCAACCTCCACAATGAGTATTCCATACATAACACATTTGATACCTTTGGGGAGCCGTTCACCCATATTATGTTTATTCCGTTCATGGCAAACTGCTTTCCATCTGGTAGTGAAGCATCATAGCTCCCGACAGTCACAAACACAGGATCTCCTGCTTTGTTTCTCTGCCAGTTCACCAGCTCATAAGTCGCTGTGGGATCTCCATTTCTATCAAAATACACTCTCTCTCCTGACTGAAGAGTGAAGTTCACATCTTGGAGATATGTCACAACCTACCAGTAGAGAACAGTTGATTATAACTTAAGAATTGATTGTGATTCAAATTATTTACATAATTCATGAAGGTGACCGCTTACCTGTTTAGGCTCTAAAATATCTTTCCAGACACATGACTTATTCACCGTTTCATCGCTTTGTCTACATTTTAACATATTATGCATTGCATGAGCCACAGCATACACAGCTTTATACACATTGTTAGATATCCTTAGCTCTGACACATCTGTGAAAGGATTGTTGATGTCCTGTAGTCTCTCAGAGCCAGAGCACTGGGTCTGACCATGCAGACTGGATTGGAAACTGCAGTCAAATGTGGCTTCCCAGAACTCTCTCAGCAGATTATTCTGAGGATCCTGACTTGGATTAACCTGCAAGAGAAACTCTTTCAGGCCTGAGATCTTTGCCTTTTTGATGGTGAACCCCAAAGACCCTGTCAAGATTCCAGAGTACTTTTTAGAGGCCAAATGAACTGCTGTAATCCAGGACTCACTGCCCACCCACTGCAGCCCAGTCAAGTTCTGGTTGAAAACTTCCTCAAGCAGAATGTCCATCTCACCCTGGGCAAGGAAGGCAACTAAAACCCTTGCACTACCACTTTGGATCACTCTGACCACCCTAGCAACTTGCTCTGTGGGGTCAGTCCTTGAGATGGCCTCTGAGTACTCAATACAGACTCCCTCCTGGTTTGCAGCTGTGATGAATGTTGCCATGCCGTTGTTACCATAATCATTGGCACTTCTAACTGCCCCAACCCATGTCCAGCCAAAGTGCTTTACAAGTTTTGCCAAGGCTCTGCTCTGATAGTAGTCGCTAGGGATGGTTCTAAAGAAGGAGGGATATTCCTTTCTGTTACTCAGACAAGCACAAGTGGCAAAGTGGCTGATCTAATAGAAAAGAAAAGGAGGGAAATGAAAAGCCATTTATAACATTTGAGAGGTATTAAGTATTAAGTGACAAAACATCTGACTTTTGCCTCAATCTGCTGCATATGTGCTCACCCTGTCAATGTTAATAGCACATCCCTAAAATGAAACATAATGCTACTAGAATTCGGTCTTCGTTGACAGTCACTTTATACTAACATGGTGAAATCAGTCATAAATGGAATATAAATATTTAAAAAATTTACCACTGGTATTTGGAAAATCCCTGTAATTTGTAGCATCACAATGGTTGAGGAGGACTCAGAGGCTCCGATGATGGCATGAACAGATGACTGGCAGTTTTTTCCCAAAGTCCTTTCCTGTCCATTGATTAAACCCATCACTGCACGTGTTGAAGGCAGTGTTGAACCACAGCTGTCAAATACCTTATAACCAAGTGATATATTAGGCAGCAGAGAGCTGCTTTTGTTGATCTCCCTAATGGCAAAAATCATTGTTTGGGCAAGATGAAATTCTCTTAAATTTATCCTGAAAAGAGTAAAAACAGTTTTCACTAACAGTTTTCAGACTTTATATGACTTTCCCTCAGTTCAGAATCCAACAAATGAGAAAGGAGACAACAAACAGTACCTGGAGCAAATGAGAGGTTCTGGAGTATCTGTGAAGGAGAGCAGGGGCTTTGAGAGTTGGCTATGGATAGAGAAAGTCCCTCCAATAGTGATATCTCCTTCCAGAGATAACAGAGGAAACTTTGGGCTCCCCAGCATCTCACAGAGTGCAGAGTCCTCCTCTGCTCCAAAGGCTCCAATAAAAAGCACAAACAGTAACATTACATAGACACAGTCACACATTTGGTACAATCGGCCTCATACATCCAGACACAAACCTACACTGTGATATGTGTTATTCTATCACTGTCCAAAACATTTATCTCCTTTCATGGGCAGAGCTTTATACTTGTGTAGATGATGATGACTGAGGTCGTCTTAACAAATCACAGTTTGATGATGTCAGACCACTAGCTGTTCTTCTGTTTTTAAGATGATTATGTCATTATTACTGTAAGTTGCAAATAAAATTGTAGGACAATGTGATGACGGGGGCCACATAGTATTTAAACATAATTTAGTTGCAAAATAAGGATATTAAGAATGTTGTATAGAAGCTGGAGATTTTATTTGCAGAAAATATGTTCCTAAAAGTGGAAATGGAAAATTGAAAAAGGCTGGAAATTAAACCAATAATCAGGAAATTATCTGGATGGAACCTGTATAAAATAATTGTTATTCAGACAAATATGTGATCCAAAATGTATGAACTGGCATTGGTTTTATACTTGAAACATAAAAAAGTATAGTTACAAGAGTAACTATAGAACTTAAAATGTAATTAGACATTCTGAGTCATGTTTGTTTGACAATATATAGAATAAAAACATGACTTGATGGAAAGTACAGACATGCAAGCATGAGTTATGCAAATAAAAACATTACATGTCATCTTCTTGCTACATAAGTACAATAGACTGTGGTGTCCTGACACTGCAGTTGATCTTCATGTGAAGAAAGTTTTTGACAGAGTTCAGTGGAGATGAAGAGCGTAGCTTTAGAATAATTTGTATGAGCTGTTTAATTGCAGTATATTACAACCTGTTCTCATTCCCAATAATAAC